TTTTTTTTTGGTATTAGAGTGAATCCATAAATTATACTAGTAGATAAAGAGAGAAGATTTGGTGAAATTAGAACCTTACTAATGGTGAAATCTAATTAATTACTCCTTTCGTTCAGTTTTACTTGTCGGCTAGTGATTTTGCACACCCCTTAAAAAATAATAAATAAAATGCATAATTTATCATGATACTCATATTAATTAGTGTATAAACCTAATGGATTTGAAAAATGATTTGAAATAAATAATTAAAGTTAAGAGCAAAATAGAAAAAATAAATTATTTTTCTCATGCGAAAGGTAGACAAATAAAATAAAAAATTTATTTTTAAAATAATGAATAAGTAAAAGTAAACCAAGGAAGTAAAAAAAAAAAGATTAAAAAAGAGGATAAAGGACAAGGGGAAGGAGAAAATTTTGTTAGGATTGGCATTTTGGAAATGTGGAATCCATAGGGCGTAGTTGCGAAGCTGTTTTGTCCAATTTAATAGTCCAAAGTAGTGTTTTTGGGACCCCAAATAAACATGCCATCCAGCTCATCAGCCAACATGCCTTTATTTATTTCGTCCTTTTCGCTCAATTATCACCCCCGCCCTTCTTCTTCTTTCCCACATAGTCAAACTATTTCACCCACTATTTTAATTCGGTGGACTAGTTAAAGATTATTAGTTGAATAACAAATTTTAACTGAATTAATAAAAGAAAACAATACAGGTTTCAAGTTTAAAATTTATTGTTTATATTTGATGAGAAACCATATTCTTTGGAAGCATTAAAATCCGGTTGTAAATGTGCAACGTGAAACAAAAGGTACCATAGCGCAAGTAGTTGGATATGATAAAGAAGGAAATACCAACTTCTGACATTTTAGCCCGCACTTGTGCTCACATGTTTTAAGGTTGGCGGCTCATCCTACCTCATTCAAGAGTAAAAATAGCACGGTATAGCCAGTTTTCGGGCTGCTCATTAAAAAATAACCAACGTTTACGATGTCAATGAAAAATAGCCACTATTTTGCTGCAACAGAGATCGATCCAGCATAATATACTGGAGTTCGGTGCACCTGTATATGAACTCCAGCATATTATGCTGGATCGGTATACGTTGCTGACTTCAGTATAATATACTGGAGACTGGAGCACCGGTGCTCCAAACTCCAGTATATTATACTGAACAATTATACTTGCTGGAACTCCAGTATATTATGCTGGAGTTCTAGTGTACTTATGCTCGAACTCCATCATATTATGCTGGAGTTCCAACATACTTATGTTGGAACTCCAGTATAATATACTGACGTATTTTTCGGGTTTTGAATAATATTTTCGCTCAGATTTATCTTTACATGAAAAATGGCTAAATTTCAATTACTTTTGAAACTGGGCTATTTTTGAACGACCAGTTATAAATCTGGTTATTTTTGAATTTCCCACCATTCAAGATAAGAAGATGAAACTTCTTATCAACTATGCTTTCTTTATTATTTATTTACTTGTTTGTTTTATCACCTTACACTAATAATACAAGACTAAAGATTCTTCACGGCTACTGCCCGCTTAAAACTGACAAAAAATATGTTTAGTGACGAAGTCAAACAATTTAATAAGGTTGTTTAAATTTTGAGTATTCTTTTTTAGTGAGCTATGCAAGAATACTCAAATTCTATTTTTAATCAATAATAAGTAATATTTTACCTTATACATAGTATAATTTTCTGGCGAAAAATGATCAGACCACCCTAGGGCCAACATAGCTTCGCCCTGGTGTTTATCGCATTATATCAGTATATGATAATACGTATTTAATTAAGTAATTAAATTGAATTAACTATTTTCGATAATGTTCTTAAATAATATTTTCTTAAAGAGGGTGTCTAATAGCACTCCAGTTGTGTGGTTGTTAAAAAATTGAAAAGATAGATTAATTTCTAAACTCTACAAGAAACTAGACAATTTGAACCTCATAACTGGTGTGAAATGAAATATATCAATCTCTTGTTGTTCTGACAATTTGCTAATAGTATTCGTTTACAGATAGTACTTAATTTATTTATTTTTAAAGGGAATCTTGGTATGGACAAATAGGACATAGCAACGTGTAAAAACATGTCGTACTTTTCAAGAATCTTCCTTTTCTTTGCAAATCCATCGTGGCCACGTGGAAAAATTTATGCCCTCTCATTAAAAGTTTCATTTTTTCACGTACGTAAAAGCGAATTTATCTCTTAAAGTCACTTTACTTTCGTTTGTAACAACAAAGTCATTGAACTATGCCTATTGAGTAGGTCACTCAACCAAAATTTCCAAATTTTGAATTGCCAAATACCTATTTTACCCTCTAAATTATAAACATTAATCTTCTTTTTACTTTTTAAAACTTTTTAATATTATGATTTTTTCTTTTTAGTTTATACTATGGACTTAGCTATAGAATAAATAAATATTATTTATAAATTAAAAATAAAAAGTATTTAAGCATATATAGTGCTGGAATAACAAAATAATGAGCATAATAAAAAAATTAATTAGAATAATTTATTAGTAATAATAATTTTAGTATTAACAACAAAAATTCAAAATTTTATTTTTACAATTCAGAATGAAAGAAAATAAAGGTTGTAAAAAATATATTCTATGCACGTAATATAAAAATAATTGTTTAAATAAAGATATTTTTATAATATATATTATATATTCTTAAAAATTATGCTCAATTATATTATATATATTCTATGCACGACTTAACATAGCATATTTTACCTTATACAGATGTTCCCCTGCTTTCTGGTGACATAATTTTGTATCGTCGGAAAGTTGGTAGAAACATAATAATATAATTGAGCATAATTTTCAAGAATATATAATGTATATTATAAAAATACTTTTATTTAAATAATTATTTTTATATTACGTGCATGGAATATATATTTTACAACCTTTATTTTCTTTCATTTTGAATTGTGTAAATAAATTTTTGAATTTATGTTATTAATAATAAAATTATTATTATAAACAAATTATTCTAATTAATTTTTTTATTATGCTGATTATTTTGTTAGTCCAGCATTATAGATTACTAAATACTTTTTATTTTTTTAATTTATAAATAATATTATTTATTCTATAGGTAAGTCCATAATATAAATTAAAAAGAAAAAATCATAATATTAAAAAGTTAAAAAAAAGAAGATAAATATTTATAATTTAGAGGGTAAAATAGGTATTTGACAATCCAAAATTTGGAAAATCTAATTGAGTGACCTTTTGAGTGCAATAGACATAGTTCAGACTTTGTTATTACAAACGAAAAAAATAACTTTAGAGGATAATTTGAGATAGTTGAGTGACCATTTGAGTGATTGACTTTGAAAAAGCTGCAAACTACAATGCAATAAAATGAACCAGTTCATTGATCCAAAGACGCTTCTATACACTGCAATGAAATGAAAGTACCATTTATTAATAATACATTTATGTACCCTTTGATCATAAATTATATTTTAGTAAATTAGTGATTTGACCATCAATCATTATTTAAGAGAAATACTTAAATTGTTAACTGAAATTTTAACTGATTTACTAGTTCAAGGCTCTTCACATCTACTTTTTTTTTGGGGAGAAATTAAAAAATAGCTAGATTTACAAGTGATCATTTAAAAATAGTCACAGTTTCAAAAGTAATCGAAATTTAGTCACTTTTTATGTAAAAATAAATTTGAACGAAAATACTGTTCAAAATCGAAAACATACTCCAACATAATACAGTATATTATACTGGAACTCCAGTATATTATGCTGGAAGTCCAGTATATTATACAGAATTTCCAGCATAATATACTGGAGTTCCAGTATAATATACCGGTCCAACATAATATGCTGAAAGTTCATACACATGTGCTCTAATCTACAGTATATTATGCTGAAACTTTCCGCGTGTTGGAGTTCTGTTGGAGTTCTAGCATAATATGCTGGAACTGGAAGTTCATACATAAGTGCACTGATCTCTAGTATATTATGCTGGAACTTTTCATGTTGAAACAAAATAGTGGTTATTTTTCAATGACTTTGCTAACATTAGCTATTTTTGAATGACCAATCCGAAAACTGGCTAGCCCATGCTATTTTTACCGTAAAAAAGGAATCTGCAGCGGATTTTCTAGCCAAAAGAAGCTCCAACCAGTAGAGAATGCTTTGAATCCCATCCTGTTTAGTTTTTTAATACTACTATTATGTACAAGACATGGAATGGAACATGAAGTATAATTAGTAGCAATAATATTATCTTCTTTTTTTTTGTTGCAACTTCAAATTCAATGCTCTATTTTTTATCTTCAACGTTCCAAGCATCGTCCACCCACTTACTTAATATTTTGATCCTTTTCTTTATTTCAACTGTCAATTAAAACCGTTGCCAGAGTTTGGTGGTTCATTACTTTTATGGCAACGGAAACCCTTTTTTTTCTTCTCTTTGGTGGTATGTGAAAATAGAAATGTAAAATAAAATTATGAACATGCGTTGCCAATTTGTCCAAGGCATTTCAAGTTCTTCACATGTTGTTATTGTACAGTTGTACCACTCAAAAACAAAAACAAAAATCAATTCTATAGTTTATGAGTTAAATAAATAATGCACAAGATTGACATGTGTAAGATGATCATGTGAACCTGAATTGGAAAGTCTAGAAGCACAACAGCAATTAGACTATGTATTAGTTAGAAGTTGACTTTATAATTCATGCAAAATTGACTAAAGTAATTTTCTTACATTCTATACGAATTAGAAAAATTAAGAAGCTAAAATTTAGAACAATGGTCAAAGAATTTACAGATTACTCCACAGGATGAGAGCAAGAAGAGAACTTCACTTCAGCAATTCAATTCACCATTAATTCTTCAGCTTGTTAATAATCCAAGGAAAAGGATAAATCCATCTTGCTCTCACCTCTGCAAGTTTGTAGATCTGTGATTCCGACACTTTATTTATACATTTCTCCTTGGAAAAATGTCAAAGGAAAATAAAGAAGAGAATGAACATAGTGGTGAAAAAAGAAGAATGAGTGAGCTTAAAAGCAGGAGACTGTGAAGGTGGTGGAGGATTATAGAAGTAGAAGGGGAAATAGGGAACAATAGGATTAGGAGGTGGAGGAACAGGGCCAGAAGGGTAATTTTGGTAGGGTGGAGGGTAGTAACCACCAATTACACCACCAGGTGGAGGTGGTGAGTAATAGGAATCACCACCCCCACCACCACCACTAGAGGAGAAGGAGAGTGGTGGTGGTGGTGAATAATAGTAATTTCCACCACCAGCGGAGCTAGGAGGAGAGGGTGGCGGAGGACAATTATTGTTGGAGGAAGATGGAGGCGGAGGAGGTGGCGGAGATGGGGTGGCACAGGGGTTGTCACAAGCTGCACACATTGTACATTCAATCTCATACTTTGAACCTGCCCATGCTGTCCCAACATGATTTGTTGCAGTTACCAAATTACCCTCATTTCCCATAGCCATTATCACTATGATGAGCATAAGAATCTTGAAAAGAACAAACTTTACTCCCATTTTGCCCCACCCCTTCTTTGTATTGTATGAATGATCAAAACACAAGGAGAGAAAAGTAGCTCTAGAGAGAGAGAGAGAGAGAGTTTTGGTGTAATGGAGAGTGGAAATTAATGGAAAGGGGGGTTCACTTGTCAATGAAGCAACAGAAATGCTCTAATCTTTTTGAAGGCATTAAGAAAGGTGTTAAATATAGTAGTGTAGTACTATAAGAGTGTGAAATTAAAGTGCAATTGAGGAGCCCTCATGTTCAAAAAGATGACCACCGACACGTTTTACTTTTCTTACACCAAACGCGCAGCTGAGCCCATTTTGTGCCGATAATTTGCTTTTCAATGATTAACCTCGACCCAAATTTATGAACAACCCATGTAGATCTGGGTGGTAAAAAAATATAATGGAACCAAAACATCTTTATAGATAGCACTACCGAGTTGAGATTAAGGCTTAAGCAGAATGTTGTTTTTACATTTCGCCTAATTTTTTTACTGTATTTTAAAAAGGTTCATATATCAATAGAAAATACAGAGAATTTCCAATGTTACACAATTAAGTTTTCAGATAATATGTGTGGTAAAAAATGTGTTTGTATAGAGAGATAAAAAAATGGATGATGAGGAGTCATATATCGACCCTAACTAGCGTTGGAGCTTAGATATCGTTGTTAGTTTAATTGATGATCAAGGGCGGATTTAGGGGCAGAAGGGTGTTCATCTCAACCCCTTCGCCGGAAAATTACACTGTATATGTAAGGCAAAATATATTTTTAACTCTATATATTATATTTTGAATTCCATTGACACAACCAAAAAGTATAACTTAGCGGTCAAGTGGTTCAAAACCTTTATAAGGTCATTTTGATTCTATGGGTTGAATGATGTTTCACGTGACGATTAATTGGCTTATTGCATGATAATCGACTTTACAACTAATAAAAATCCCTCTTTCCGTAATAATTGAAACTGGACTGTATCAATCCATTTTGCATCATAATAGAGGCAAAACCAAACACCATCTTCTTTGTATAAGAGGCTGTAAAATTGAAGAGAATTTTACACGGAAGTACAGCCCAACATACTGCATTGTACTTACATAGTTATGTTTATAATTTTACGGGAGAAATTCCAAAAAAAAAAAAAAACAGATTTACAAGTGGTCATTCAAAAATAGTCACAATATCAAAAATAATTAAAATTTAACCACTTTTCATGTAAAGATAAATCTGAACGAAAATACTGTTCAAAATCCGGAAAACTACTCCAGTATAATATACTGGAGTTCCAATATAATATACTGGAGTTCCAGTATAATATACCGGTCCAGCATTATATTATACTGAAACTTTCAGCGCGTTAGAGTTCCAGCATAATATACAGGTGCACCGATCTTTAGTATATTATGCTGAAACTTTTCGTGTTGCAGCAAAATAATGACTATTTTTCACTGACTTTACAAACACTGACTATTTTTGAGTGATCAGTCCGAAAACTGGCTAGCTCATGCTATTTTTACTAATTTTACAGCCACATAGCCCATTAATTTTTTGCAATAATATTTATACACTCGGTCTATAATATTATATAATACTATATACTTATAATAATATTGTATACAAAAATAAAACTTCGTCTCCTACAAATTTCAACTCACAAAAAACATCATTAAATAGCTCAAATCTTAATGGAATACGTAGTTTTAAAGTAAAGTTTAACCACAACTTCCAAATAACATTTCAAAGGAGCCTCAATCATCAATTTGTCAATCGCAAAACTTATTTAAGAGTTATGAGCTTTCTAGCTTTTTAATAACCTTACTAATGAAGTTTTTAGCTTTTCACTTTTATTCACCCAACAATTTTTTAATCTGTGATGATAAATATGAATATCAGTTTCTAATACAACTGCTATTAATAGGTGAAAAGAAATTTTAAATTATATACAAAATAAACTAAATTAGGTAAAGAAGAATATAGGTTAAAATTAGTTGGAAAAGTACCGCACGTATACTTCACTATAATTGTTTCAAAACTGAATAAGACAGATAAAATCATCCTTTTTGTGCAAACTTAGCGCCGGTACGGAGTTTGGTCTTTTGCAGGATATTGCTGCATCTCAACACTGCTTTAATGAATTTCTCTCTTGTAATTTTTTTTGATTTTCAATCCAATGTCCGGTATTTCGATTAAATCCGAATTTGCTTAGAAAAGTCTCGGTATTAGAAAGACACCTTCATATTCACAACCCAAACTTTGTACCTTTAGTTAATTTTGGGATAAAAAAATACTTATCACTCCTCACGACCTTTATTGGTGAGTGGACAGAGTAATAATATCAGTACTGCACTAGGAAACTTTCCAGGCTGTGAACAAACACCAAATGTCTGTCTTCAATTATTTTCAATTGTCAATTTTCTAATCCTCTAAGTAGAGAGGTGTTATTATAGACTTTCTCTCGAGTTTTCTCCCTTCTCATCTTACTTTCTTATATACTTTTTCCTTTTCATACTTTTATCCAATAAAATTTGAAACGGTAAATTTGCAATAATTGGTGACATTTAATTTAATAACGGCCAAGAAATCACTAAGGCCTCATTTGTATTTTTTTAAGATTAAGACGTCTGAATCTGAATACACATATGAATATTAAGATGTCTTAATCTAAATACACATCTGAATATCAAGATGTGTATTAAGATTAAGACATCTGAATATATTAAGATGTGTATTAAGATCTGAATAGAAATAATTAAGAGTGTTTAATTTTTAACATCTGAATGTATAAAATTTATCTTTATTAAAAAATTTATAAACATAAAATTCAAATGAAATACTAATTAATCTAATATTCTATCAATAAAATATATAGTTTTTTAAAATATGATAGTTGTTGGTGGAGATGGCTAACAGGTGAACGCCGACTAAAGGCGGTGGTTGGTGGTAGTTTTGGTTGATGATGGTGATTCATGCTAGTAGCTAGTAGTGATTGGTAGTGATGACGATTATGATTGAGGATAGTGGTAGTGAGTGGTGATAGTTAATGGTGTCGGGTGATAGTAGTAGTTGTGACTAAGGAAAGTAGTGTGTGGGTGGTGGTAAGTTATAATGATGGGCAGTGCCGTCTGTGGTTGTTGATGATGATGGGGTGGTCAATTGTGGTAGTTGAGGTAGATGAGTGTTGATTGTATGTGAGAATGATGGTGGTCGGAGTGGTGAAGATACTAGGTGGTGATGGTCGATAATGGAGGCTATGATTGAGGATGATGGTGGTGGTGGTGATTGAATATGGTGATGATGGTGGCATCGTGGTAGTTGATAATAGTAGGCGGTGGAGGCAGTTAATAATGAATATGTGATAGCATCTTAATGAAATTAAGTCTCTGTTATATATCTTAATCATACATACCTATTTAAACTCATTAAGCGGTTGTGAAGTAAAAAAAAACAAACACACTTAATGATTAAGATATAAATAATTAAGATTTAGACTTTAAAAATAAATACACTTGAGATCTGAATAATTAAGATTTAGACCTCCATTAAATGCAAACAAATAAGGCCTAAAAAACAACAACGTATTCTATGCTTATATTTGGCTCATTCTTCTTTTAAGTTTAACCATGAATTTTGTAGTGGATCCACATCCACTTTTGCAGTTCCTTGCTTCAGGTTAAAACTAATAAAGTCCAAAGTTAAAACTGTTGAAATGTCAAATATTTCAGCTTCCCACGGCCGTGGGTTAGCAATAGTTGGGGGGATTTTCCCCCTATAAAAGAAGGCTTAATGTTTAGGATTTA